TCCCCCCCCCCCCCCCCTCATCAAATGTCTTAACAAAATGAATGTTATCTGCTTAAGGACAACCAGGCCTTAGTTTTAAAATCAATGGGGTATCCAAAATTCTTTTCATCAAAAAGATTTTCCTTATTTCAAGCTTAGAATTTTAAAGACAATGATGATGGAAACAGCACCATATTTTAAGCTCATTGTCTCCTTTTGAGGGCATGAATAGTTCCATCTAGTTTAAATAAGCACATAGTTTTTTTGATGCAGCGGTATCTTTTGTTTCCCACTTATCTATCCCACCATCTCTTCTGCAGAAAAACCAAGATGTCTTCCAGGAGTCACTTTTGTTAAATTACTAGGAGGTATTGAGATTACAGCTCCAACTATATTATGCTCAAGTTCTCTTTGATATACGCAAATGAATTTGGTGTTTAAGCTTCTTCTTTGTCCAAGATATACGCTCATAATAGCATATCTATAATCACAGAAGATGAATCTGCCTTTGATGTACTATTCTGTATAGCTTTTGAAATGATGGATGCTCAGTGGCTTGCTATGCGTGCTTCTTACATGGAGTTCAATGTATATCCTCTATCTCAGCAAAGTACTAGATTCTTGAACTTTGGTGTTATTTACCATGATTTGAAAGTAGCATTATTTTCAACACTAGTGAATCTATAAATTTACCATTTGCCTACATACATTGGGTCATTTGCATGCCTTTGATATAGAGGCGCTCCATTGACTTCTGCTTGATATGTTTTTTCATTCCTGCAGGAGGTTTTACAAGTAACAAGGACACAATTGGAGAGGGAACTATCTTTGGAAGATGTTCATCGAATAAAAGATTTACCAGCATACAACCTTTTGTATCAATAGCAATTTATAGTGAGGTCCTCTTAAAATGCCCCAAAGTACTTGTTAGGTCCGGTAGAGCATTTCGGAGAACCCAAAGGTTTAGATATAAATTCATGTGTCGATCTGCTGAACTGTAGAAACCATTTTTGAACATGTTATCGCCATGCTTAATGCTATACAATGAGCTTCTCACAAGTTAGTGGTGCTGAGGCCGAGTCTGATAGCGAACCCCTGTAACCATCTGATGAACTGCTGTTCGCGGCAAAATTTAACTAGTGTCAACGCAGGTGGACTGCTTCTAATTCCTAGCAATACATGGGGTGGGGGGCAAGGGGCGTGGGGGCCGCGGGTTTTCCCTGTGTCCAACAGTATTCCTGTTTCCCATGGTTTCCCCTTTTGAGTCAGAGAGGAAACAGGTTTGAGAGGATTAGGATGGCACATTGTATAGACGATGGAGATGCAGGCACCAGCATACGCAAACTTGATTTGAAGAATGCATGAACTTCTTGTAATTTGCAACTTTTGAAAATCAAATTCCCATGATGACGTGCAATTTTTCTGGTGGCAACTCAATTCTGAAACCTTCGCTGGCATAAGAAATATTTTACTTCTTGTAACTTTACATGACATGAAACTTGAATCTTAATAACTAAAATATGACTGAAGAAAACATTAGAACTCTCTTACGTTAAATACTAGATGTCAGGCAAATCCATAAATTTTTCCAAAAGTTCTTGGAAAAGAGTTCCGTGTACTCTTTAAATTCAGGTGGGGAGCGGAAGTTTAGAATCAAAGAAGAATACGAAGTGTGAAGCTCCATCACCCAGAAGTTATAAAAGCAACGTTCAAACCTGACCCCGCTAAATCCACCTCCAGTTTCCAAGGCCATGAATTCTTGTTGGGTTCTTTCGTTCCGTCCATGATTTCGAGTTAGCACAAACACATCCATATGGGCACTGTCTCTTGCGGCTGCACTATTCTCCGGCATTACTGTAAGGACCGCATCCATTACAATTACTTCTCGATACTTGGAATAGATTTGTAACAGTTCTTCAATAACTTCAAGCAATGCTCATCATTTTGTTTTGCATTGCATTAGTCTTCGCGGTAGCCTTTTGAAAAAACAGGTCCAAGAAAAGTTACAAATTATAATTTTTCTCGAACCCAGGTTCTTACCACAATTCGAGATGAAAAACAGGTTTAAACAATGAAATTTAAATAACTTCTTTAGTTGTGATTAACCTAAAAGCAGTTCCAATTGCACTGCATTGTAATGCCAAACGTAGCTTAATTATGAATTATACGCTTCAAAGTTTACATCATTACATTATTGAACTAATTAAACAAAATTTAAACATTGCCAGTAAAACATTACGTACATCGACATTCTTCAGACTCTTACAATTTACCGTGGACTTGTTCTTCAATGTTTTTTAGTTCTCAAACTTTTTTTTTCCACAATTACATCATTTTTGGGTTAGATTAAAGGACAATTAAATCAAATTTGTTGAATAAGAGCAAAATTGAAAGATAGAGAATAAAAATAGAAAAGACACCACAAATGGCTGATGATCTCAAAGTTATCACAAAGAGTTTAATTTTATCCTCGAATTTTTTAAATTATATCTATTCGATCCCTTAATATTTTTACAATTTAGTTTTGGTGTAAAAATTTATTTATTTATATTTTTTAGTTCCTAATTTGAGAGAGTTCAGAGAAAGAAATTGTTATATTTCAATGGTAGAGAGAAAAAATCAGTATTTACATATATTTTGACTATTTAAATGGTTGATTTTAAAGTTAACAAGATTTTTAATTTTAGGTTGAGTTTGAGTTTCTATGTACACATATTTTTTTTTTTTTTATGTTTTTTAAGCTATTTATAGATTTGTCAAGTTTTTCGGACTTTCTTTTTAGATATTTTGGATTAAAAAGAGTTTCTAAGCTGAAAAAAAAAACATGAATTATGATTTTACAACCATTAAAATATCCGAAATGTAGGAAAATTAATGGATGACGTGTTATTAGACTTTGTTTTGAAAGAAATTTAGGATGAAAAATATGCTTTTTGTTTTTTTTTATTAAGGACCAGTACATGGATGGATCCATTCTAAATAGGCCAAGCTTGGCTTGTTTGATCTTTTTTTTTTTTAATTTTGATTTTTTTAAAATAATATTTTTATATGTGTTTTGGAATAAGTTTTTAATTTATATTTTAATTAATACCCCTCTTGTGTTTTTTTATTTCACTTATTTAGTCTTTTATAAATAGAGGTTTGTTTTTTAAATTCTTTTTTATGTATTTAATTTTTAAAAAGATTATTCTACTTCATTTATGATTTTTGGTTTGTTTTATATAAATATATTTATTTTTAAAAAGATTATTCTTCATTTATGACTCATAAATCAACTCGTCTCTAGGAACGTGCTTTGCCTAGCACAAAACAAGCAGTTTCTAACTTCTCATGAACAATCCTACTAAGGATTGCTGAACCTGGAGTCACCTTGAGGATAGTAAAATACATGCATTCCATGAACCTTATTGAATGGAATTCTTCTTTCAAGAACCGCTTCATGTAGACCGTGGTTATGGTCTTGGAATATAAGAGATGGAATTAGAAGAAATATTATTTTTTTTTCTTCTTGTTTAGAAATTATACAAATTTATTCAAGACTGTTTTAAAAATAAATTTATTTTATATATCTATCTCTGTTATTATTTTCAACCAAATACTTTTCAATCCCTTTTTTATTTGTTCTTTATATGTGTATAAATTGACAAAGAAATTAGTAAGTAACTAGCTCATGGAAATTTGCAAAACGTTGAAACTAGAAGTTTTATTAAATATTTCACATAATATTTCTTCGATTTGTTGTAAATTAGTGAACAAATAGATAGGTGGCCTCCTCTTCATCTTGGGCGAGTCGATTTCTTTCATAACTTAAACAAGCAATGTTTAAGCATTGTAAACCTGTTTTAAAGCAAATTTTTTTTGTGACTCGAGTCATAGATTTTAAGATTAAAAAAATTAAATAATAATAATAATAAAAAAATCTGACACAACCTGAGCTAGCATGTTAAATTTTTAACCTAGATCATAAAGTTAGGATATACTTATAGAAAGTATATAGAAAAAATTAAATAAATAAACTCAATATTTAATAAACTAGACATCAAAGCCTAAAATTGAGAAAGAAAATAAATGTAAAAAAAATTAAAAAATAAAACCAATGTCAACCTGGGCGAACATCCCATGTTAGTGACCAAGGTCATTGGATGAGGATGACCACATCGAAAAAAATAATGAAGTTCAGTCCTTAACAATCTAATACTGAAAGTCAAAAATTAAAAAAAAAAAGAGAATTATTTTTTTAAAAGGATAAAAAAATTAAAAAGAATGAGGAACAAATTTAACATAAACCTAAAATAAAAAGATATAAAATTCAAGCCAATATAAGTTAGCATGACAACAATTATGTGACTTTGATTGCATAAAATTAAAATAAGATGATGTAAGAGCTCCAAGCCAATCCGAGTCAACATGACAACAAATATGTGACTTGTTGGACTGTAAGGTTGAGTCATCATCATAGAAATAAAAAAAAAATAAACAAAAAAATTTAATTTTCAATGAATCTAATATTGAATGATAAAATAATAAAAATATAATTAGTGCAAAAAACAAACATGAAAAAAATATCGATAGCAATCCAGGTTAAAATTTCATACTTATGACTTAAGTCATAAGATTGGAATCATCACACAAAAATAATTAACGAACCCTAATTATAAAAAAAAAAATATTGAAGGATGCAGTTGAAAATATAATTTTTTTTAAAAAAAGAAACCAAGGCAAAAATAAAATAAAATAAAGGCCTAATTTGATATAAAAATCAAATCAAATCAAATCAAATGATAAGGAAAGGAGTTTAAAAACAACATTAAAAATAATTACAATAAAAAAATAATGATCAAATTTGGATATAAATACCAAATAATTGAAAAAAATGAAAGGATAAATTTTTTTAAAAATCAAAACAAATAAAGAATAAGAGCCACAATTGAAATAACAAGAAAATTGAGGATAACCTTTAATTTTAACTAGGCTGACACATTTTTTAATAGGAAGAGAAAGAAAATGAAGGGGAAGAAAAAATCTTACCACCACCTAACTACTATGAAGCATCTTACATGCATAGCCCTATTAGATGCACCTTCATGTGATTTGTTGGTAGAGATAATAGTTGGTTTTTTTTATGTCGGGAGGTGCTGTACATGCCATAAATGTTTTTTTATTTTTTTATTAAATTTATCCAAAGACCTAATTGCTCCCGACCCTTATGATATTAACAAAAAAAAAACATCATAAAAGACAGAAAAGCCCCTTAACTTAAGCTATAGATTTTTTTTTTTGCTTATATGGATACCTTAGTAATTATATTGTGCTTACAAAAATAGAAAACAAAAAATGCCCCCACCCAAGCATGGTGGGATAACGTATAATCAAGGAGGCCCACGTGGTCATGGACATAGGCTGAATTTAAAAGGTAATTCCAAAATTAGTTCTATTTATTACACCATCAAAATGTGAAAGGGGAGTTCCTAGCCTTGGAACAAGGGCATTTATCAATTCTATACTAAAAGAGAGGTTTCAATAATTAATACTTAAAAGTGCATTTTTATCATGATTTTATATCATCATTTTGCACTTGAAGTATCAATAACTCCTTAATTAAAGCATGTTTTATAATAATATATCTAATAATATAAGATACCTTT